TCAAGTTTCAGGAGAGTTTAACATCCTTGTAGTATGGGAAAGCACTTTTGTTTTCTATTAATCACTTTGAATATATCTACATACTATTTTAAGTGTAGTTCTCAGTTTTCACAAATGTATAGTTATGCTACCATCAAAAGATGGAGAACACTCCATCACCCCAAAAGAACACTCTTGTGACGCCCCTTTGTACTAAACCCCTTCACCATGGACTGATGTTTTCGGTCCCTATGTTTGCCCTTTCCAGAATATAAACAGAACAATGTATTACCATATGGGTCATTTTGCAATTTGATGCCACAATTGTAGAAGTGCATAATTTCTTGCACCGTTCTTCTGAGTTTAAAATTCTGACAGTACTTAGTTAAGTAGGTGGCACATTAGGCCTTCAAAGCTGAGAGATCCCACTACTATGAGCTTTTTGAGTCTGGGTAATAACTTGTTCTCCTGTGCTCAACTTTCTCATCTGTAAGATGGAAGGAATGACTGGTAGGTCATCAAATGAGGCTAAGAACTGTGAAATGACATCATCTCTGCAGTGCAGAAAGTTAGCACTAAAAAATGGGACAAAGATGGGCTTTCCTTTGCCCTTTATTAAAACTCACAGCTGTTACTTTTGTACCCTGCTAGCCCATAACACGTGAAGTCCAAGCCCGTGGCAGTGACATCTGTGAACAGTACGATGGGCTGGCAGCTTTACGCAACATTGAAACAGAAAGCTGCCAACTACCCTTCTTACAGAAAGGCCTCCAAAATTTCCCATCTCTCCTTTTATGTTAAATTAGGGTATTCCTTAAAATGATACTCTCTCTGCAGCTCACCTCCGTTATTCTTTGGATGATTGTCTCTAAGCACTCACAGCTCTTTCTGGTGTTTCCACTGGGAGATCACAGTGGACTTGCATAGATGTCACTCTACCCATAGAACACACTCAGGATGAGCTAGAACAGTGCAGAGGAATGCAACTGTTTCTCTAAATGGGAGGAACCCCATGGTTTAATGGGGGATATGCACACTCAGTCTGTATAGCAGCAAAATGAAAATGCCAAATACTATAAAACTTAAAATAGTGAAAAGTAAATTAAAATCCTCTTAAACAGAGGCCAGCCCAGTGGTGCAGCAGTTAAGTGCGCACGCTGCACTTCAGCGGCCCAGGGTTCACAGGTTTGTATCCTGGACGCACACCAATGCACCATTTGTCAAGCCATGCTGTGGC